CGCCATGAATAAGAGAACAAAGATTGGAAGAGGGGGAATAGAAATCCCTCGGCAGGAGGGCAGGGGAATCCAAAGACCATAAATAAGTGCTGACAAAACTAGGATGGCACTTGCCACAATGTGTATTGTTGTCTTAATGGATTATCTATTTACCTGAATGTTTAAAACTGTCGCCCTTCTCCTTGCTGAATAGGCTGCATGATGCTTTTCAATAGAATTAATTGATTGGACTCTCCAAGCCTACCTTTTGTTATGGTCCAAATTATACTTAAGGTTTCTCTGCACAGCCCATAAAAGTTAAAGGGAGATGTTTTCCTGATGGTTCTTAGAAATAACTTGTTTTATTTAAAACAGGTAGGCAGCATGCTAATTTTAATGTTTTGCCTTCGAAAGGCTAAGGTCCCAAGAGAAACGAACCAATCATTTATGAAATCAAACCCTCGTAAATTTCCATGGTTAGAAGCACCTTAGATACTGGGTAACTGGACAGAAACACTTCAAAGATGCATTATTTTTCGTATTACTGATTGTGGTCAAAGGCCATACACAGTATGCAGAGCCATTTAAAGAGGCCAGTAGAAATTGTGATTATAAACTTATTATGTTTATTAACACACTAGGGATCTTGAAACACACCATAAGATTCATAGAACATAAAGATATAATTGGGAGACTATTTCTGAGTCATGTAAGGGCACTAGAAAGTTCCCAGTAGAAATTGTGATTATAAACTTATTATGTTTATTAACACACTAGGGATCTTGAAACACGATTCATAGAACATAAAGATATAATTGGGAGACTATTTCTGAGTCATGTAAGGGCACTAGAAAGTTCGTGTGTGTTGTTTAGTGTGTAATACAAATGCTTACTTTTTTCAAATAGGTAAAATTGTATTATTCCACATATTGTCTGATTTTATTTTTTATGTCCTCTTGACTTGTGGAGGCCTTAGGTTCCTTTAATGACCTATCACATTTCTAGCCAGACTTCACCATGAGGGAAACAGATGCTTCAGGGCATTAGAGAAGACGCCAGTGACCAGAACCCATCCGCTCTCTGGTGATAGTACAGCTCTCTCAGTATTCTGGGATGGATTAATGGATTAATGAGAATTTCTCTGGCACTGGCAATATGAATAAATGTTAAGGGGACCAAAACCTGGAAAAACAAACTTCTCCACTCCTACTTTTGAGTAGGAAATCTTGGCAAAAACTCAGCCATTAAAATACCGTCATTACTTGCATGGACCTGACTGGAATAGCCCAGACCTGCCACACTGTACCTTGGAGTAGTTAGCTGGCAATGGTTTGCATTCATGTACAGTACTGGCCTTTCCTCTAGTTCATCTTCCTTCTTTTATACTTTTCTGCTAAGTCTCTGCCCAGTGTCCACTGTACATCAAATGGTCCAGAATGCTGAATTTGAGTACAATGCAAATTGAACAATTGTATAAACAATTGATGCATAAGCAAAGACAGGCCAGTTTTAAATGGTTCTGGAATCCTTTCTGATGGTGATGTGACACCTCTGGACAGTTCTAATGATGACCTCCTTTATATCATGTAATAAATAACATCAAAACTGGCACCACTAGATTACACAGTAAATTTTACTGTTGTTTTTTTTTTAATAGGTTCCAGTGAAGAATACACTTTTTTTTACTTTAATGAGGAAGCTGAAAAGGCTGCTGCAGCTCGTGACCTGCTTGTGACCCCAGAGCCCATCTTCCCCACAGAAGTTGTAGAAGAATCAGCCAAAACATAAGCATCTTCTGTAGGGCTGTACACACCCATTTATAGCCACAACACTGGTATTATTAGACTGGTAGGTTTGAAGTATTTCTCCATATTGGGTTCGCTGTTAAACTTTACTAACTCGTGTGCTCTTTTAATTCTTTTAATTTCACTCTTTGGTAAAAATACATATATGGTGTTTGTGCCTGTGAACTTTGTTTTACAACCGTCCCATTTCCATGGGGATTTTGTTTGTATGACAGCTCTGTTGCTCTTTTAATTCTTTTAATTTCACTCTTTGGTAAAAATACATATATGGTGTTTGTGCCTGAAATTATACCTGTGAACTTTGTTTTACAACCGTCCCATTTCCATGGGGATTTTGTTTGTATGACAGCTCTGTTGTTCATTTTTCAGACTCATGATCCAGTAAAAGAGGCCAATATTTTCATTGCCAATCCCACATTGTCAAATACCTTGTCCTACAAATCAGAACATCCCCAAAGCAAGAAACTAATTACCCTAAAATCTCTCTGTGCCAGGAACAGGTGTGCATCTTCTTTGTTTACCTTACACATCTGTGCTGGAAAACAGACACATTTTTGTAGCCAGCCTCATGCAGAAGTGTGAGAGCTTCGCTGTGTTTTGTAATAGACAGCTTCATCTTACTTTTCTACCCTTAGTTCTTTCCCTGAGTCCCTCCTCCTTTAAAATTTTAGTTTTTAGTTTTTCTTGTATTATTTTTATCTTCGTGAGTCTCCTTAGATTCTTTTTGGAACAAGAATGGGTATAAATGAATAAGGACATCAGTGAATACATAAATATTCTTAAGGTTATCAAATGCCCAGTTATTTATACTCCAGCATTTAAAAAGTGGCCAACAAGTGATTAAAAATAATGCAACATATATGTTGACTGAATTGCCTCTTTTGTAAGCCAGTGTTGGGGTTATAGCAGAGGAGTACCAGAAATAAACATATTCAAACACATACCTATAGATATAATGTCCAACTGCTTCATATGATTTAGGTTCTCTGTTAAAAGAGTTACCATTTGCATTTCCTAAAAATTAGATAAATTGCTATGTACTGACCTATAGGAGAGTTGGCTGAGTTTACACTTCTGATATATTCTGTAACTTTTACTAAGCACACTCTCCTTTTGAAGAGTACTAACAAGGGAACTTAATGTCCTCATGGTAGAGCCAAACCCCTACTCTTAAAGCTATGATTTGAAATTGGCTCAGTGGCAGACTCTCTCAGAGCATGGGGCAGAACTGGCTTGTATCACTCGAAGCCTGGAGAACTGTGACAGTTTGTGGTTGCTACTGCTTCTCCTGATTCTTAGCAACAAACAATGGAGTAGGAGAAACTGGAAGGAAAATTCATTTTAAAGGCAGAACAAACATGACTGAGTATTCACATAGCTTTTGCAAATATCCTCATAAATAGACAGACACACAAATTAATCATATGTGAGTATGCTCTGGAAATGTGATGTAAATTATAATTTAATTAATGAAACTAGACCAAAAAATGTGCAACTAACAAGGCAACTAATTTAAATTAATTAAAGAAGGGATTTATTACCTTAACCAGGTCAGCACTTTAATTTCAACAAAGAGCACAGTCTGCTCACCTTAACTGCACTTGAGGATTGGGCTCACCAATAGATAGGTAGCATTTTAATTTAAATTTCTTAGAGTGCTAAACACTGTTTATATTTTCTCTCTTTCTATTATATAAAACATTTATGTAATAATAAATATATGGTATTATTTGTAAAAAAAAAAAACTAGTCATTAAAAAGGGATGGGGAAATGTTAGTGTTTGGAAGAAACTTCAAACCACTCCAATTCCTACTTAAGGACTGCTTGATGACCCTTCTAAGGTGAGCAATGACAAATGTTTATCCACTCTCCATATTTACTGGCATATAGGCTAAAGTTGTTCCATGATGAAAGTGAAAACATGTATTGTGCACATTTAGAAAAATAATCCAGACTTTGCTTTTAAGACTGTGATACAGACTATCATATTTACCTGACACACAACCTAAAAATGGTCTGGAAAAATAATTAACAATAATTTTTACCTGTACTACTCCATTTCCAACAAACATTTTACTGTTAACAAAGAAGGTAAGGATGGATGAATTACTGATGGGTGGTCAGAGCGGTCATCCCTTCTCTTTATTCTTGTCAAACAAGGCTGGATGCTAATGGCCCTGTTGTCCCCCCTCAATCACAACTTCCACAGGACTGATCAACTGCTGGAACTACTGTGGGTGAGGAGTTTATATGAGACTAACTCAGATATAAAAGGATGCAAGAAGTTTAATTAAATTCTTATTCTTCCAGAAAAGAAGAGAGACATATTTTTTTTTCTTTTTTTTTTGGTGAGGAAAGGGCGGGTGCAGCTGGCTGATATGGGGATCCAAATCCTTGACCTGGGTGTTATTACTCTTTTTCTTTAATAGCAACAGCACAAAGTACCTCTATCCCTGTGTGTCAGCCTGGCTATAAAAATGTATCGACATTAGTTAAGAAAACTCTGTAGTAGACAAGACCCAATTTATATTTCCAAAACAGAAGAATAAATAAGCTTTTAGAGAAAGCAAAAACATAAAGGTACAGTCCCTTTCAACTTTAAAATAGTATAAGTAGGATGTATATAATTTTTTTGTGCAAAGAGCTAAGAACCTTGAAGATACAAACACTAGTTTTCCTATCTAAGAAAAACTGTTTCTGTTGAGGTCACCCGAGAAGGGACAAAACCTCCTCAAAACTGAGATGAGAAGGAGAGAACTATAGACAGAAAAAGTTAAGTAAATACCCTACATCAAATATCTTTATGTCAAATTAATTTAAAATGCTTTGTGATCATGGTGAAAGAAAGTAAGCAGCTTAGAAAAGGCAAGAATACTTTCAAAATACCAGTTACTAACTGTTACCCGGTCCAGCTAACACATCTTACCGAATGATTAACTTCTTACCCTGGAAATGAGGGTATTTTTATAACTTTATTATTCTGTTGATGTATGTATTTTTATATTCCTAAATGTGTGTAAGATACATACCAGCAGACTGATGACATACACATAAAGGAAGATAGCATAAAGAAACATGGATATAAAATTCCTCAAAATAAACCATTTTGTGGATTATTAAAAATTACTACAGTTATCAACTCTTATACAATTTTTCTATCAAAGAATGTCAAACTTGGGGAACTGAACCAAAAATGTCAATAATCACAATTGACCTTCAATGGGAAACTGTTGGTGCTTTTTTAATAAGTTGTGGTGAGGAGAGTTCAAATCACAGCATAACAGAACTCACTGAAGTGAATTAATGGTCTGTAGTTAGCACATCATACAGCAGTGTCATTCAGTTAGGGAAAAATACAGTTGAAAAACATTACATTTTAATTCCCCAAGAGTAAACAGATAAGTAACTGTAAAATCATCACTGGAAGAACATGGAAATAGTCAAGCATAACGAACGTACAGAAAGATAATTATTTCCAATTTTAGGTGGTACATTTACCTGCCTACCCACCTCATCAAGCCTATGCTTAGCACAAGTGCAAAAATACAATACAATACAACTACTGCAATTATTACTATCATTTTCTTTTGACCTTAGGTGAGAAACACCTGACAGCTACATGCTGAGCCATGCTAACAAAACTAAACCTTTCACTTTCTTTAATAGTAAAATTACCATTACTGAATCATTATCATAAAAAAGTGCATTCAAGTACATTACCACTTATTTTAAATAAACACCAATTTTGAAACAATCAACTTTGAAAAGCTGCGTAAGTTTAAAAAAAATCCCTGATTACATTTCTATTTATTCACTGTGGTAGTCTGAAACATTGTATTTTTAGAGACTAACTACCACTTAATTTCTTAAAAAAAACAAAAAAAAGTGTAATGTAGAACAGCAGTGAATCAAGAAAAATGTGTGCTTGTCACTTATCTTCCCTGTACATAAGAACTGTGAGAAAATATGGTACTTGTGCCACATTAGTATATGGGAAAACCCAATTAACTCATAGCACAGCACACATGGTTTACCAAGATACTACTGTTAAATTCAAGGTTTAGAATTTGTCCCCGGGAGGCTCTGGACACAATACACAGCATGTATTTTTCACCCAATAGTTAGCAGTGTGTGTAATTAACATCAACTATGGGATGACCAGTTTGAGGCCAACTCCTGAGTTTTAAGTTTATCTCAGTCTACCCTAGAAAGCAACATATATGTCACTGTATCCAACAATTCCCATGCTGCTCTAGTTTCTCCATCAAAAGAGGATCAGACCCATAACAGAAGCTTCTCTGGGGGCCTTTGAAATCACATTAAGTTGGTCAGTTCTGTTTATACAATTATCCACAAGCACCTCAAATGTTCAGCATTACATGTGATGAGTGGTATGCACATTTCCTGAAACAATATCAACATCTGAATTTTCTGTAGCCTTCCAAAAGAAGTCATACTTAATAGAGTAACTCGGAAAAAGCTTATCCCTATAAAGATCAAAAATCAAAACTACTTATAATATGTATTTTGCTAAACAGCTTACTTATGTTTATAGTTGCTACTTATAAACATGACAACAGAAAAGAACCTGTATCCTGAATACAGTGACCAGAACAGAATGTCTATAGTTCTTGCCAATACACCAAAATTAATCATGTGCTTATTGAAAAGGACTTCCAAATGTTAGCCTTCTGGTTTTTGGATCAGCAGTTGGAGCTGTCTCTCTCTCTCATTTTTTCAATGCTGTCTTCTTTGTATTCTGATTTTATTTTGCCATCATCTTCTTTGCGTTGAGTTGGATCTTTCTTGACGACCTGGTCTTTGGTTTGGGGTTCATGTGTGGAAACAGGATCTAAAACTACAACCGGTTCAGCTTGCTTTTCACTGCCAATGTATTTTGTCCTGTATCCAACATTACTGGGAGGCCTATGGGATGAAGAGTTAAACAAAAAAATAAAAAGCAGAGAAAATATTTGTCTTTCATATTGCTGGATTCAGACCAGCAAGAATCCCAAAATGTTCTCTAAGTCAAATCAACATGCACATAGTAGTCTTTGAGATGCCAGCCATTAAAATAAATAAATAAACAAATAAACACGAAGCTATCAGATTCCATATTAGGAGCCCAAGGCCAGAAAAAAGAAGACAGAAAAAGTCAGAGCGATTTTTGAGCAGCTCTTCTCGGGAAGTGCAAAGCTCACAGGCACACTGTGCGTTCCTCCTCACTGCCTGCTACCCCAGGTGGAGGAGCTGGTTAACCCCCTTCCCTCCCTCATGTCCCTGGGTACATCTGCTTGCAGATTAGCTCTGAGGAGGCTGCCTGGACAAGAGACAGTAAATCCCCCATCACTGAGGGACAGGTGAGAGATGTGCCAGCTGCTGCCACTGCCAACTAGGAGAGATCTGGTCAGCACTTGGGAGGGGCAGGGAGGGGCAGGAGCAGATGGAAAAGTCCAGAGTAGAAGCTAAAATGCTAAGTTACAACAAACTTTTCTAAAAAAGAGAATCGGATTTCTTGAGAAATTTATTACTGAATGTCAGAGGCAGTTTCTTTTCCCACAGAAACCTCCTCTCTTCTCTTCTCTTCTGATACAAGAAACTATCGCTTCTCAGGCTGAATGAGTGCCAGTTTCCTTGTGGAAACAGAGATGCTCTGAAACATTTTCTCTTGCCACATGTAAGGAAATTAGGCTGTGGACACCTAGCCTTCTCAGAAGCCATGGTCAGAACCCACCATCTGAAGGTACTGGGCAGCTGACCTGCTACCTAAAGGTTGAGGCAGTTGCAGCAGGCAGGGCTGGGACTCTTCAGACTTTTCTGATCTTTCTGGCAAGTGCTAGGGTTAGGCCTTTTAGTACCAAAGAACTATTGACCATGCATACCACGGTTCCGCCACTGGCAGGCATGTGCTGATGAGCTGCTGGCCAGTGCCTACCAACTGCCCTACTAGCCCCTCTCCAGGAGTTGGTTTCTACTGCTATTCCCTGACTCCTTGAGACGTCGGATCTGCTGGTAGACACTCTCTTACCGCCTAATACTTCTCCCTTGTTGGACTTACCACAGTTAATTAGGCGTTTCATGTCTGTCTCTTCCAATAACATGTAAGCATCAATGAGGCAGGGACTATTTAGCTTGGTTCACAACTCTATCCCCACAGATACGTTTATAGAGTAAATGAATAAAAAATTATCTGAAAGGCTCAGAATGAATGGGAGAAACCAAGTTTTTGGTGTGAGTAGGTCTGGAGGTCTCTCTTGTACAACAAAAACAACAAATGGTCAACTACTGAGAAAAAGTGGCCTGCATGACCCAGTCAAAGGTACAAAAAACTTAAACCCAATGATGACACTGTTTTATCACTTTCTGACCAATACTACAAGATCTGCCCAAATGTTTCAAAACCTCTGGCTATTGGGTTATATTAACTATGTGACTTGGTCACCTTCATAAGTGGCTAACACACAGCTATGCCTTCCCTGAAGGTAGTAAAAGCAGAAAGATAAGCAGGAGCCTGGAAGGACAGACTGTGATATAGTGAGGCAGATGCCTTTACTTGTGCTGTGATATGGCACTGCCCTTAACACCACCACAACGTCGTTCATCTACCTTGGCCATGTAACCACTTCTCAGGACGTCTGCTACTCTGCTTTGGGAATCAGTATGGGATGTAGTTTCCCCAGTGGTATCTGTTTTGACTTTTTCTTAAACAGGTAATATCTAAAAGCTTGTGATCAAGAAGCGGAACCACACTATGAGGGATATGAAGGATTTATCATAGGAATTAGACTTTTGGCAACAGAGGGCACAAGTCAGGCCGTCTATGTAAGTCAGTTGCCTCTGCATCTGATGCGGGCCTGATGTCAGTTGTGGCACTTGGGAGGGAATATATCTGTAAAGTGGCAGAGACTGAGGACAAACTAGAACTATATTTGTCTCACACAAGCACTGATGATGCAGATGGCCTGCAGGATAAGCTGCAGCCCTTCCTCATGGAGCTGCACATGCACCGAGCCCAGGATTTGGAGATGCTGGAGGAGGAGATGGGGGGAGGTGGGGAAACTGCGGGCCAGCCATTGCCACATGCCAGTCAGGAGTCAGCACAATGTGCATTAGTGACAATGGGCCTGAGCTCTAACGGAGCCTGCCTTACTTGGATCTTCAGAGGGTTAAAAAAAAATGTTTTTAAAAAGACAACTACTTCACTTTGGCCTTCTAAATTTCATTAAAATTTCTCTTGTGGCCAACCCTAAAATGGAAACGAACGGGTAAAGGAATTTTAGGAAATGAAGCTGCAGCCTAGCTTAGGTTATAGTGAAAGCCACAACAAAGTCTTCAGGTCAAGGCACCAGTCCAGGTTCACCACCTTGGGTGGGAGCCCACTATTGTGTAAGCAGCCAATGTGCTGTGAGCATGCAAATGAAGTAGTTATCACATTCCAGGTGAGCAACTTCCATCAACCCATACTAACCTTCATCACTTCTGCAGAACTACCATGGACGTTTCCATGCCCATGTGTGTCTGCACATGAAAGGGTGGTGAACACATTCTAGAAAAAGCTTTATCAGCTGGGGGCTAAAAACTTCCAGCCAGTGCTCTCAGGGCTCCACAGCAGCAATAAATTGATGTTGATTGAACTGAAAACTCAGAAACCTTGTATTAGCAGGCTGAAATTGTCCTGGAATTGTCTCAATCCAAAGAACTGTTTGTCTATCCTGAAGTAAGCTTCCCAACTACAGATTAATCTGCTAAGTCACTTGTGGGCTACAGTTTGAGAATCCCTTTGTTGAACATCCCTGAACTAGACACAGTGGACAATTTCTCTGAATCTATACATTGAGGCAGAGTACGTAGTTTCTCAAGGAAAATGACCTGCCTTGGAATCCAAATGGGTTAAGGTGGAAGGGGACTATGGCAGTCATCTAGTTTGACCTGTCCTTTTACAGATGAGGACAATGAGGTGTGGTAAGGGGAAGAACCTGGCCTAAAACCACAAAGCTTGTCAGTGGCAGAGCCAGAACAAGAGTCAGGAGCTCCTTTCTTCCTGTTTCTGCTTTTTCCACAGCTCAGTGCTGTTTCCCAAAGGCATTTTCTCCTAGAAACATACGATGCCACAAGCTAATTTTGGCATGTTGACCTATTTTTTTCCTTTCTAAATTAAATCCCTGTTTTCATTTGCATCTTTCAGATTTGAAAATATAAAGTCCATCCCTTCAAGCTACCCCTTTTCTTTTGTTCTTCTGTGGTCTGTAGCTCTCCTGGTTTGATATCACTAGGTCCATTCCTGGCTCCCATGAGCAGCTGCCCAAGGCTCCTCCTGGAATGAGGGGCCTTCCTCCTAGGCCTCATTCTCTCCATTCCCTTCCTATGGGAAGAGCCAGAGAGCCCCATCAGTGACAGTGCCAAGAACCCAGGTTCTTGTCTAGGCAGCTATGGTGGTAGGTTCTAGAGGATTCATTCTGAAGCTTCTCTCCAAAGCAGAAGTCCTGGAAGCTCAAATGCAACAATCCTTTGAGGATTCATTCTGAAGCTTCTCTCCAAAGCAGAAGTCCTGGAAGCTCAAATGCAACAATCCAACAGGAATTAGAGTAATTGCTATTCTGTTCAATTTTTCTACCTTAATGCAGCATCTAATGACAATGACCAAAAGTAAGGAATTAAAAATCAGTAAAAAGTAATGGCAGCCCTTCTCTCTCCTACATGCTGCAAAATCTACAAGTAAAACTTTAATTTTATAAGTAATACGAAATGAGACTAAAATCATGGGGTGTTCAGGCTGAACAGGATCAGCAATGTGAGCTACTCTAATGTCTTCATTTGTCAGATGAAGGCCCCAAGAAAGAGTAAGGTTAAATGATATGTCCACTGGCACACAACTTGTTAATAGCAGATACAGGACTAAAATTGTGGAATCTTGATTTCCTAATTTTTTTTTCTTATCACAACATACTGGTAGTCATTTATGATCCCTTCAAATAGGTATTGTTCATGGGTCATTTTAGACTATGTGCTCAAAGGCTATTTCAAGACAAAAACAGAAACCAAAAGCAAAACAAAAGCTAGGAGACAATATACCAATCTATGCCACTCTACAAAGACGGATGCCCAAGTACAACTTGGGTGCCCTTTTACAAAGCAGCTACTGTTCCGCAACTGCAGGAAAGCCCAAATGTGGGGCTTGGGCAGGTGGGGCCACTTGCTGGTAAAAGGAAAGACCTGACTTCAAACTATACTGGTACCAGAAGAATCAGAACAATTGCAAATGGTTATGCCAAAGCTGAACTTTATAAAGGGATTCAGTGATTTCTCAGACTGTGTTACAAGAGATGAAAGCACAGCATTCTAATTTTTAAAAAGCACATCATTGTTTGCATTCAATGAAATTCCTTTCAAAATCAACTTTCCACGTTTCAATTATATTCAACAACATTCTAGCTAACATTTCAGTTGCAATTCAAATTAACTAATGCCCCAAAGAGCCCTAATCGAAGTGGTTCGGAGCTCAATAGAATACAATCAAAGCTCATGAAATGAAGGGGAAATGCTTATTTCATGCAAATTCTGCCTATCACTCAAGCTTAATTTTACTGATAATATAAAGGTGGGACATTTCAAATATTACAGTGAATGAAACTTTTAAGCAGTGAGAGTTATTTTTTAAAATGCTACCTCTGAAAAGCTGATTGCCAAACAGTATAAAAATGGTTTGAGGCATAAATGCCAAGTTCATTTCTATTTCACTTCTGAGGTAACTATCTTTCAAATCGCAACAGCTGGACTATTTAACACAATCTGGTGAATCAAAGTATAGTTCTTCTCTGGTCTCCCAGTAGGACGTCTGCATTAGTCTGTGGCAGCCATCCAACAAATGACGCACAGCCGGACGGTCTGAACTCTGTTTCATTTACAATAAAAAGGGATAAAACTGC